TATTATTATTATTATTATTATTATTGTTGTTGTTAATAATAAGTTAGCCTGTCATTGTTTTGTTTTCAGTCATTCTGAAACAATTCTTCCGTTCAAACGGTCTATAATTGAGAAGAGACGCTGCTTTGGAATTTACGTAATCGTATCAGATCGAAAGGATCAAAAAACCTGCTTGATTTTTGTTTACCTTTGCTCTCTGGCATTTTTCTTTAGCGATTCGGTGGATCCCATTATACGCATTTTGTGTTCGATACTTATTTGTGTTTAGCGCTGAGCAGTGACATACGGTGACCATTGTAGACGGACAGTGCGAGATATTTCTTCTAGGGAACCAATAACACTTCTTTATTATAAAACATTTAGCCCCTTTAAAGCATTCGCCGATACATTTTGGTTTGCTATAAGACAGATGAGCCGACGTTACTGCGGACGCCCGCGCTGCTTTGCAACAGTTATGTCCCAGCGAAACAGGTTTATTTGAAGCAGGTCATACTGTAGCCTCTGTTATCTCCGTTTCAGAGCAAAAGCGAAATCTTCTCCGTAAGCCTTAAGCGTGCCAGTTCCCCCGGATGGCACACGCAGCGTGGCGGTGAAGAGTTTTATATAAACCGAATTCAAGGTGGCGATTCACATCAATGTGCATAAATGATTCCGTTTACGCGTGTAATGGGCTCCTCATTTCTTTACAAGCGTGAGTGAAGTCATGTTAAAAAAAAGTGATCTTTAGATTCTGCTTTTAACGAGTTTCGAACATGTTTATTTTGTACTGCATTCATCTACAGCAGCACGAAAGATTTTAAGACAAATTCAGCAAAATCCAGTTCTGTACTGCTGTTATGGTGGCATTGAAAAACTACGATGTATCAATCAAACGCGAAAACAAATCTTTCCATGTGGGCTATATATGAGAACGGTATTAGGTACTGATCCTGAGATTCTATTGCATCGCACTAGCAATTGGGTAGATTTGGGGTGAGTGTTAGATTAACTGAAGGAACACAATTAGGAATTTCAAATACCCACTTTGTTTTCCCTGTGTGCCTTTATAATTTCTGATAAATCATAGCCATGCAATGGAGTGTTGATGTAGGCTGATATTGGAGGCTTCCCCTCAGGAATCTTTCAGGAGAATGACTCGTTCCCTGCTTATTCTTAGATTGTGACCAGTTCTCTATATGTGGAAGAACCTGCAGTTAATGGAAACTGTTTCTTATACACCACCCTTTGACTTTTCCATTCCCAGAGACTAAAAACCTAAGGGTTTGCTACAGTATGTAAAATACCAAAGGAAAAACAATATATGGATTAGTTTTATCTTCTCATAACATTTTTGATCCGATGTCCTGTGACACTCCATCTGTTTAAAGCAGTCAGCAGGAAGAGATGCAGGATGTTATTGTGAGAAATATGAGTTAGGGGTCTTTCTCTTTGCCATGGCATCATTTACATACAGGTAGATTGCTCTTAACACCATTTATGACTAGATAAGACAGACAGGTGTATGTGCTCCCAATACATCTGGCTTCCCTTTTGCATTTTATTCTAATCAAGAAAGGGGGTGGTTGAGTCACATCAGTTGCTGCAGTGATGTTTTGAACATGTGGGCTGTTTGTGTGTGTGTGTGGGGGGGCTCTTTGTGATGCAGTGGCTGAAGTCTTTTTTTTTCATTACCCTCGCCTGTCTCTTGTCTGGGTGGTTCCATTTGCAGTAGAAAACAAAACCCTTCTGCAGGACAAAAGGAAAGTCTTTTGCTTTGGCTTTTCCTTAAGAGGTTTTCTATTTTTTCCCCTAGCCCTGGATATTCTGTTGGCTGTGCAGTGTGCTGTACAGCACAACTGAGAGGCTTGGCCACAATGACACAGCCTGAGTTGGTTATTGATGTTAGCCAACACTGTGATGCCCTCCTTCCCCAATTTAGAGTGTCATGCAGTTCGGCAGACAACAATGATAACGCATTCCTAGGCTGATCTTATCAGATCTCTGCAGCTAAACAAGGCTGGGCTGGTCCCTAATAGTACAGGGAGCCTTTAAGCAAAACTAGGATGCTGCTGTACAGTGAGTGGAGCTTATGGAACCACAAGTGGCAATCTTCTCTGTGGACCAGAATCACCAAAGCAATATCCCCCCACATCTACTTGGGGACACTCTACAGGAGGGGCCTTCCTTCAGATGGGACATTCAACTGATGTCGTCACTTGGTCGGTAATGATCCCATGGCACTGGAAGTATGGGGGTGTGAACCCCAATATGGGGTTACATTCCAGTCTGCTGTTGAATAATGTGCCAGGTACTGTATGAAGTTCCCCTTTAACATCAACTGGTAAAGCAGATTCTCTCTTCTCTACCAGATCTGCTGTGTGGGGAGACTGCTGGTGCATAAGAGCTGCTGTTCATCAGCAAGGTGGGTCCTGCACTCCAGAGGTGGATGAAGTCGTACCTCCCTGTACTGTATGTGATGAGCTTTGGGATCCTTTGTGATGAAGAGTGTAAAATACTGTAAATGCAATTTATCATTAATGATATTAATTTACAACAGAGATGTTCTTTAATATGTAGAGGACTAGCTACTACTTACTGTACGAATACAGCAGATACTGACACTATTATTCCACCCTCATTATACATATGAATAAAGTCATTATAATTCTGAACAGTATAAGGATGCTGTTGCCTCACAGCTCTTGTTTGTGTGTTTAATTCAGGATGGAGTTTACATGTTAAAAGTTTACTCTTCATGTTAAAATGAGTTAATTCCAGGTGGTCCAGATGTCTCACACTTTCCAAATACATGCTGGCTAGGTGACTTGTTCCTGGGTGCATTCATGTGTTTGTCCCTTGTGATGGGCTGTCCCATCCTGGGTGTCATCTGCTTTCTGTGGCTGCTAGGTGAAATTCTTTAGATAAAGATAATTCTATTACTACTGTAGTAGTCTTTTTGGCAATAATGCTTCCATTTTGTGTTTCTCCATGAATGAACAGCATGGTTACTGTCAATATTCAGCAATAGTTTACTTTTCATTTCTGTATATTGTAGTTCCTGTTCAATTGCTCATAATTCATAGACATATTCAATTCTTTTGACAGCTTAACATTATGAATTGTTCTTATCTTCCAGGTGAAATGGCTGGGCAGGCAGCAAAGTCCCATAGGAAAAGTGTCATAAGACATACTGAACTCTACAAAGCCACCCTCATACGCCCTGAATAGATTGCTTTACTGTGATCTGCTGTCCTTGAGGCAAACAGGGTAACTCACCCTCTAGTCTCTGCCTGAATACTAGCATTTCAATGAGTAGTCATTGCGTTTCTATACCTATCTGAAGCTATAGTGGGCAGCACCATTTTCCTTCCATATCCATATTTAAAATGAAGCATATTATATTGCAAACAGTGGTAGAAGATTTTAGGAAATACACATGGATCTTTAAAGAAAGGTTTTCCCTACAAGTTGGGCCTAACTAGATTCACCAGTATTACAATGAGCAGCCTTCAGGATGAGTCAGATCTTAGACATAAATCCTTTAGGACAAGAAAGAGAAAACTGCTGGTGGGATGGTTCCATATCTTCAAAGATTTTGTGATCACCTAATAGAACCGCTGTGGTAATGCGGTATTACATATTGCTTTAGAAGGCACTTCTTTAATCACATTATGCATTTAAGAAATTTAACACACACTTTCAGACCCCTTGGGAGCTACTACGGTTCGACTCCAGTTTGGCATAAGGGCATTTACAATGCCAATGAATATTGTATTTTTTCTGTCCTGGCAGGGCCTCCTTTACTCATTGCAAGGTCTGATGAACCCTTGGTAGCAATTTACCAGCAGGGGGCGCAGTGGCTGGAATGCAGTAAGGCAGCAAGCAAACACCAGAACACCTGCACAGATAGGATTGATATTTCAAAAAGGGGTTCAAATTGACACTAGTTTAAGAGTTACAAACTACCCATTTCTTCCTGTGAGTACTGTGTATGGAACCTTTATACTGTACATGCGAAACATTGGGTATACAAATATTAAGGCACTATACTCAAACATGGATGAATATGAAGTGCAGATTATGTCAAGAGAAACATAACATTTAAAAAGAACAACAGCATTTATTGCTTGGGTTTGGGAGCAGCACACAACCCTTCTCAGTCAACTTTTGTTTTGTCAAGGAACACAAAAAGAAATTTCCTGAACTGAAGGCAACCATGTAAAATCTTAACATATTTTGCTTTCAAATTTTTAGATTTGAGTTCATGTTTGAGCTGAGATATGAATCTGTCCTATAACAGACTCAGCTCTAAAACACATTAACGAAACTTGCGATGTTATTGAACCAACAATTTTTCACAATGTGTACTGTTGTAGTTTTAGACAAAAACTGCTAAAGGATAAGATCACTAGTTGGAAAAAAGATCTTCCATTCAATGGAGTGGTGTCATGCAGATGTTTTGCATGCATGAGATTATTGACGGATGCTTCATTCAGGTTGCTAGATAATGACCATTCCAAAGAGCTAGCCATGCTTTCTAAGGTCCTATTAAATGAGGAATTAATATCCAGTTCAGGCTGAATTTAGGAACTTCAAGAACAGTTTTGGAAATGGTATGAGCCTTTTACTGTCCATACAGTGACAGTTATAGTGGACATTTAACACAACAGACATTTTAGGTAGGGATCCATGTGTGACAGTAGTGTATTTTGTAGACAGTTTCAGTTCTGGCTGCAGTATCTAGTTGTGAACTTGCAACATATAATTTCACAGTTCAGGGCTTTTCAAGGCTTTTGCTTACTTACTGTTTAATCAGGCACTGGCTCTCTTTTGAGGGTAAAGGATCAATACACCCTGATGGAAAAAGAGACCAGATTCTTATAAACCAACTAATTTGCCTCTGTAATAGCCAGTTACATATCAGGGGTAACAAGATCTTACTGTCAAACTTACTGACAAACTTTGTTTTCCTAATTTATTTTTGTCTTTAAATACCCAAACCATTTAACACACATTCTCTTATTGACTATTATGTATACTTTATGAAGACATACCTATTTGTCCTCATTATTTAGCATCCATAAAATGCTTCTGGGATTTAACCCTAATCTTTCTTAATTAGTAAGGAGTTGTATGTTTTTGCTTAATGGCTAGTTAATGATGCCTGCACTCCATAACCTAGCATGTAAGACAGTTCATTGACTTTGTTTGATTCAGCGAAACACAGAAGTTTCTTGTCCAAGAGGTCCCTTGGGATACACACAGTCTGCCTTCATTATAACCAGGTATTACACTTTATATTAGTAAAAATGCATTTTCAGACGCCCCCTGACCTTTGATTTGAACGTCTTATTGTTTAATGTTACTGCTGTGCTCTAGAAATATGGATGCACTTGTGTGGACAACACACTTGAACCATCATGTCTTACACATAGTTTTCATCAATGGTTTCACAAAAAGGAGCTTTCGATGGCTCTCTGATACATATACTGTAGTTCACAGTACATTCCGTACATTTACGGGGGCTGCTATTCGACATATTTTGCTTTAAAAGCATCAGGCAGTTTCCACACAACCCTAATCAGTCTGGATAAAGAGGCCATTCTATTTTAGATCAAGTAATTAAATCCTAGAAAGTTAGCCGTGGACGTGTGCAGGTTGTTTGTATGCACCCTCTCACTGAGGCAATTAATGGGTAATTTATAACACAATAGCTTTGCCCGCAGGTAGCCACACTTATTATATTCTCGCCAGCCAAAAGTGGCTGATAAATTGCATTGGGACACTGCTTACCTGCACAAAAAATAGAACACAACGATTCCATCTACAGTACGGCGTGAGCTTTCAAGATCACTTTTTATTTAATGTCCAAGGCCTTAATATATGCAATAACTCCCCATAATACATTTTCGATGGCCCGCTTCGGCGTTAAAAGCTATTCTAATAGGCACGACTGTAAAATCGATTTATTTACGGCAAACATACGTTTAATGCGTTTAGACAAATCTTTAGATGTAATGAAATGCATCCCGGCTCACAACACGAGAACTAGTCTAAACGGCAATGGGCAGAACACCGCGGTAACACCTGTGTGTGGTGTAGGGCGTGAACGGAGACCACCGGGCAAAACAGGGGAAAACCGGATTTACAATCTAATTCCGCCGCGTCTCATTATTCAAACAACCTTTTGTTGTTGTTGTTGTTGTTGTTATGGGAACACGTGTCAGGTTCTTTAGCGAGTAAAAGCCTAAACGTACACAAAACAGTATGGTATTTAAAGCAGATTTCAACTTTTAGGGGGAAAAAAGAAATGCTGTAATACAAAACAAACAAACAAAAGATTCTAGTATCTCACGTCAACGCACACGTCCCAAGCACAATGTGTTGTTTATGCAGCCCCAACAGTGCTTGTTGATGCGTGCATTCTTTACGGAAATTGCAACAATAATCATAGTACGAGGCCCACACTAGAGTACAAAGACGTCTCTGCGCACACACAATCATACAAATAAAACCTTATACTAATACTGCAGATCAGATCGTCGTTGTCTAGTACCCTGTAAGACCCTCGGCAATAATAATAATAATAATAATAATAATAATAATAATAATAATAAGCATTCCGTGTCTATTGGAATTTGAAAATGGACTGGAAAAACCTCTAAACGCATCGGAGTTCGAGTCGGGGCTGAGCTGCCGAGCTGCCGCCTCACAGCAACAGGAGCAGAGCGACCCATCTCGGCGCTCTTCAGCGACCACGGCGCTGTCCGAGGTCCTGAAAGGACTGAGGCAATTTCGGAGAAGGTAAAGACAACTTACAGATGATCAAACCGGTCTCATGGTTGATGCGGTAAAAGTCGCAAAAACAAACAGTAGCAGTCGTGAAAGCTCAAATGTGTTAAGATATGAATTATGGTACGAACAGAAAAACCACGCCTGCATCAATACATGCAAGCTACTATATATACATAATGTTTTGTACTTATACAGGATACACGTCGTATATACACATACAGTACGTATGCATAAATACACAATGTCCGTAGACAGTAATATCAAGATTATACGTAGCGCTAATTAGTCTTGTTCTTTACTGTGTATCTCGATGAAAACTGTCACATTTTTTTATGTGAAGTTCTTCAGCAAAGTGTAAAAGACCAGAGCGACGTGTAAGGGCGCGAATAATTAAAGCGGAGGCGATGCTTGTGCACTCTGAAGCGGGAGAATTTAATGTAAACGTTAATTTGCTAAAGAACAGTACAGAATAATCAGACAATGACGAAAACAAACACAAACTGAACAGAACCCCCCACACTAAAAGCAAATCTAATTGAGACCCAGGCTCTGTAGTCACCGAGTCTGCTAATGTCCTATCTTTGTTCAGCGGCTTGTAGAAGACAAAAGCAAGAGAGAATTTCTTTTCTTCAGCTCCGCAGCCCTGGGAAATAGCTACTTTAAAGGTTATATATTGCAAAAGGCGCTTAATCATTTTTAAAGAAAACATATAGTTTTAATGGCATGCTAATTGTCTTATGTTCTGAGCTTTAAGGATTTCTAAGGAAACATAACATTGTATTTAACAAAGAGGCAGTTCTTCAAACAGTTGTGTAAAAATAGCCCCCAGCATTCCACTTCTAATCAGGAACTACAAAATCTTCCTGCTGTGGAGTGTCTGAATCCATGGGCTCCTCATGTACAGTACCTGGAAGACAAGGAAGTATTTGTTAACCGACTCTGCTGTCTTTTAAACACCCCATTCAGTCAGCTGGTAATTCATCCAAAAGCATACAGATAATGTATTTTGATCAATAAGCTACTGGCTTTTAAACCGGCATGATTGGCCAATAGGCTTCTTTTGGTTTGTGTCCTTTTTAATGGTCTTGTGAGTGTTTTTAACAATTATATCACTGACTGATATAGACTGCTTCAGAATGCCCCCAAATCAGGACAGTAGTGCAGAAGGGGCCCAGTAAGCTGTCTGTCATTGTGTAGCACAGAGAGTAAAAATGTTTACTCGAAGAAGCACAGGGACTGTGCTAAATAAGCTGTGTTAAATAAGTTAATTAACATTGCATTTTACATTTTTTTATTAGTTATCCACCCAATTTGGAATTTGCAATTGTGCCTTTACATCTTGGCTCATACATGTAGCATCAGCCCCCGTATGAGCATAGCGTAATTAATGGAGTACAGTTTCTTTCAATCCACCCATCTATTAAAAGCAAGATATTATAAACACACTATCCAATCTTTAGCAAAGCACAGTAAGGTTGGTTCTAACAGAGGGAGGGACAAGTCCCTCTCTGATGACAGAGCAAGCCTGCACTGGGATCAAGTACAGTACCTGTACCAGCTCCAAAACAAGGTTTAAAATCAGTTGCATGTTTTCATTTCTGCTCTTTGGGTCTGGTTTCACATCTCATAGCACGGATCTGCATATCTTTAATCCTCCAATTTCAATGTGAAGATTACATGGGTTACTTTTATGGCATTTAACCACTAATGTCAAACGTTTACAACTGTAAACATGACAAAGGAAAACATACAAATTAAACAAACCAGTCTTTGGATTCCACACGAAACGATTCATTTTCAAATTGCAGGTGGTTGGCATTCAGGGAAGTGTGTGCGAGATGGAGAACTGTTTAATAGAAAACACAAGGTACAGAAAACGGAATAACACTTGAATTAGGGTGATGTAATAAGTGAGGTGCAGCAGGGATCTGTACTAGGACCACTGCCCTTCTTAATTTATATAAATATTTTGGATTCCAGAATAGTTAGAAACCAGTCACATTTTCAGATGATACCTAATTAGAAGGATCAGCCAACAGAGGTAGCAACTGAAATTCAAAAAGATTTAGATAAAATTGAAAACAAGACAAACACCTGGCAGATTATGTTTAATGTGGACAAGTGCAGAATTTAGCATGCAGGTAGCAAAGGTATATACTATAAATACAAAGAAGGAAAGGAAAATAGTTGCATCTTCTAGATAATGTGGGGAAGCAATTAAAAAGCAATCAAAATGGCAATATATACAGATAAAAGCACATAAATTAAGGGATGTTATATTGAATTATGCACTAATAAGGCCTCATTTATAATAATAATAATAATAATAATAATAATTATTATTATTATTATTATTATTATTATTATTATTATTATCCGTTGTGTATTATGCACTAATATGGCCTCATTTAGAATATAGTGTACAATATTGAACACCTATTTATAGAAAGAAATTGCAAGAGAGCTATTAGATATATCTAAATCTTAAGAGAATATCATACGCTGACAGAACTGAAAGACTGTCAAATTCTAAGAATTTGCAAGTCTCAAGGGCGATGACAAAATCAGCCCAGATTTCTTCAGAATGGCCAGGGAAGCACAAACCAGAGAGCACAAGTGGAAAATAAGTGGAAGTGCATTTACAAGTGAGAACAGGAGGTGCCTCTTTGTCCGGTGGGCTGTGGGAGTATTGGACAAGCTGTTGGTGAAGCTGATAGCCCGGCATCTTTCAAGAAACAGCTGGATGAGATCCTTGGATCCATTAACCACTAATTACTGATAGTTTCATCTCATCAGTAAACATTCTTTTGTTCTTACACAATATCAACATGCTCTAAAGACCATTGATAAAGCACTATGACCTTCAACATATTCAAAGTTGTTGTATGTGCCTTATTTATTTTTATTTTGCAATTAACTATCATTCTTTGTTCCAAAAAAACACAAACATTAGATCATTCACATATCTGAGCCCCATGAACTCACTGGGGCTGGGGAATACTGAGGCCATTCTGATTTCTGCGGCATAGAGTGAGATTTCTTTCCTGCATTTCTTTCTGTCCTTCACAGAGATGACCCCCAGCAATACTGCTCCCCATTTACACAGCAGGGTGGACTGGAATAATCAGAGTAAATAAGCACCTTACTGAAGGGGAGGCTCGAGACTACAGTCCATTCATTAGGAGTTCAGAGACTTTCCCACTACGCTTTGTTGCCCCTCAAAAAGAAGCATTGTATCATTCAGAACTCATGCCATAGGAAATTGAACAAACCAAAAAAGCAGCTGATTATTAGTACTAACTTCACTATTATAGGATGTGTATTCTGAGCATAAATCGTACAATACTGTATATCTTTTCCAGCTCCAATGCCATCAAACACAATAGCCAGCTAGAACTGTCACTCTACTGAATACAGTAGCACCCCACTCATATCAGAACAACCTGTGCATTCTTCTTCACTAATGGTACCTCTCTCTGATAACCTGTGTGCTCTTTGGGTATTTATCTTGCAATTCAAACGTATCAATTGTCTTTGCCGCTTATTCAAAATGAATTTTCATATCAGTTAAAGCTGTTTCAATGGATTCCAATCTACTGTGAAATTTGTATGCTTGTGTTTGCCACCTCTGAGCTTCATTTGTGACCTTTCATTTAATTCATCACTTGGCAAAAGTCTTAAAAGTCCTCTTATCCCATCATTTTGCATGCAGTAACACACTGGTGCTTTTCTGCATTTTGCAAAGATAAGTGCAATCTAAATAATTTCTGTATCTCAGCGGCTTCCTGGGCTGCTCTTTAAGATTAAGTGATAGGGTGGGTCAGAGTTTTAAAAAAGGTAGCATGAAATGAATGTAATAACAGGACATTACATCTGATCTGATTAGACACAGAGCGCATATTCCTTTAAAACAGTTCTGACACTAGAACGACTCCTTAAGTGTACTGTACCAGATAAGTCAATCGACAACAAATTAGTATTTACAACATGACCTCAAGAGCAGTGTACGTAGCAGGACATTTACTATAGCAATCTGAGCAATGCACCCAGCTCAAGGTAACAAGATCAGCAACCCATCAGCAACCCATGACCTTGCAGGCAATTGTGCAAAGCCCTAACCACTGCTTCACAGGGCTGTCCGGCAAAATACGATTATAGACAATGGAAAGGACTTTCCGTTCATCTACAGCCACCCCATTAAAAAAAGAAGACTGCATAAATCATA